GGCATCGATGCTGAGAACCAGGAGCACCAGCTGACCGACGTCAAGACCGTAGAGGAGGCCACGGACATCGAGCCCCTGCTGCGGCTCGGCCTCTCTAAGAAATCGCTGAAGCGTATGGCGCGGGCCTATGGCGTCCTCAAATTTGAGACCATGCGTACCCACATGCTGGGAGGCTTGGGGCCCATCCCGGAGAAGAAGGAGGACATGGTGAGGGGCACAGAGGCGCAGAGCGGAGTCCAGAAGTGGCTCGACGCGCTGAATGAGGAGGCAGAGGAGGATGTGGAAAGGCTGAAGAAGGGCGTCCTGGAAGCCTCGGGGATTGCGGACGCACACCTGGGACACAAACGTGCCTGGAAAGAGGAGTGCCAGGGCAACACCGCGGCGCAGGAGGCCTACCGCCGCATGGGCGACTACACGGACCAGTTCTACCGCGGCAAGGGCTTCACGTTCAACATGTACTACAAGTGCTCGGCCAACAAGACCTGGGACAACCCCAGGGGATGCTGCTCGGTGATCCGTTCGGATCGCTGGACGCAGCTGCTCACCTGCGCGCAGGAGGCGGCAGGGAGACGGGCCAGCGCTGGTACTGCCACTGTGGTGGGCGCTACTCGACCTCCTACGGCGTCTGCATCGAGCTGATAGAGGAGGAGCTGACCCCGCCACGTGCGTACTACATGCACGCGGAACATCCCGAGGAGGACACCCGCGACTTAAAGGCCCTGCTGCGCTACGACAAGCTCAAGAGGGAGGAGGTACCTGTGTTCAGCGCGGTGGACCTCCTGCAATACCTGCCCAAGGTCGAGCCGCTGGCAGTGGGCACCGTCTTCAAGCGCTACGCTCCGCACCAGCCGCAGTGGGAGGGCCACTATGCGCTGATGGAGGGGCTCTCCTGGGAGAGCCTGACCGGGTTCAAGTGGACGGACCTGCGCGCGCAGGTCGCCTGGGGGCTGAACGACCCAGAGTGGGCGGGCTACAGCAAGAAGTCGCGGAATAAGGAGGGAGCGCCTGGAGATGGCGCGCAGGGATCTGGCACTCTACGAGCGCCGCCACAACCTGCGGGAGGGCAGCCTCACGGGCGGCGGGGGTGGTACAGGGGTCGCCCCGCGCGCCACCCCCGTCCGCACCGCCAGCGCACCTCCAGCGCGGGGGGGGCCGTGGCAGCCAGGGCCCGCCACCACCGCCTGTCGGAGCCTCGCCAGCGGCCATCATGGCCCCTCCGCCGCCGCCGCTGACGGCTCCACCAGCGGTGCTGCCGCCGCCGACGGACCCGCCGCCGCAGGCGGACCCGCTCCCGCAGCAGATCCCAAAATTCTGCAGCCCTGAACGTGGCCCTCGGTGAAGACATCGAGCGCCAGATCTTTGGGCCCTCAGGGCAGGCGGGCGGCAGAGGCGACCTCGGGGGGGGGAGGGGGGGGGAAGTGCAGGCGCTGCCGTCGCAGGTCTTCGCAGCCATTGCGCAGGGAACAGGCCAGCCTGCCTGAATGATGAAGCCCAGCAGGTTCCAGGCACTCGGCAGGCCACGTGAGTTCATGCCAAGATTTCTTGCCTGCCACTTTCAGTAGTGCGGCGTGCCCACAGTGGCACCCCCTCGCGTGGCAGCACCTGTGGCTTTAGCCTCTGCTCGGCGTACGGTCACCCGTGCGCCTAGCTACTTTGGCCCGCCAACTGGCTTGCCATCTTGGCCTCCTCTAAGGCTCACTTGCGCTCGTGGGCCTCGCTGGCGGTGCTGGGGCCGCCCCGTGTGCTGCCGCGTCGCCGTTGGGCGCCTTGCCATTTTAGCTTGCCATCCTGGCCTCCTCTCGCGCCTCCTTGGGCTAGTTGGCCTCGATGGCGGTACTGGGGTCGCCCCGTGTGCTGCTGTGCTGCCGCTGGCGCTTCACTTTGGGCCGCTGGGACCAGCTGCCCTCGGCCAAGCGCCTGCCGCTGCATGCACGTCAGACCCGCCCTTGGCTTGTCATCCTGGCCTCTTCTCGCGCCTTCTTGCGCTAGTTGGCCTGGGTGGCGGTACGGGGGTCGCCCCGTGTGCTGCTGCACCGCCGCTGGCGCTTCACTTTGGGCCGTAGGGACCAGCTGCCCTCGGACAAGCGCCTGACGCTGCAAGCACGTCAGACCCGCCCTTTCACCCAGAAGAGGTGCCCGCTACATACTGGCAATGAGGTAGCCACAAGGACGTTCTTCCCAAGGTGGTTGAGCCGTGGTGATGTGTTGCACGAGACCGCCAGTAGTAGTAGTCGTAGTAGTACTAGTAGTAGTAGTAGTAGTAGTAGTAGTAGTAGTAGTAGTAGTAGTAGTAGTAGTAGTAGTAGTCGTAGTAGTAGTAGTAGTAGTAGTAGTCGTAGTAGTAGTAGTAGTTAGTAGTAGTAGTAGTAGTAGTACTAGTAGTAGTAGTCGTAGTAGTAGTAGTAGTGGTAGTGGTAGTAGTAGTAGTAGTAGTATAGTAGTCGTAGTCGTAGCAGTAGCAGTAGTAGTAGTAGTAGTAGTAGTAGTAGTAGTAGTAGTACTAGTAGTAGTAGTAGTAGTAGTAGTAGTAGTAGTACTAGTAGTAGTAGTAGTAGTAGTAGTAGTAGTAGTAGTAGTAGTAGTAGTAGTAGTACTAGTAGTAGTAGTAGTAGTAGTAGTAGTAATAGTCGTAGTAGTAGTAGTAGTAGTAGTAGCAGTAGTAGTAGTAGTAATAGTCGTAGTAGTCGTAGTAGTCGTAGTATGCATCGTCGTCGTTGTCGTTCTCGTATAACAAAAGTAACTGTGATAAGAATAATGCTAGCCCGAAGGATCTGGAGGGGCTTCCGGGATGTCATGGGGGTAGCGGCCCAGGAGGAAAGAGGATGACGATGGGGCGGTCCTTCTTTTGAGCAATGAGGGCGGCGCGAAAGAAAGAGGAAATTGAGGATATGGGCAGGAAACGATCGGCGAGGCGTATGGGGGCAACGGTGAAGCGGATGACGAGGAGGAACGCCGGGGAGGAGCGAGAAGGGCTGGACGCCGACGACGAGCGGGAACCTGATGGCGTGTGGGAAGGAGGAGGCGAGGAGGCACAGGAGGAACAGCAGTCCGACAAAGAAGAGGAGGAACAAGGACACCGAGGAGGCGGTGGATATGACAAAGAAGAACCATGACCATCCACACGCAATGCACTCAAGTGTGGTGGGCGCCACTGGCTGAATCCTGGCGCCACCCGCTTGATTGTGCGAATGCTCCAAGACTGAACCACCGAATGGTGTGCTCGCTTCAGCGCCGATGCCAGGCTGGGTCCGTCATCGTGTGAACACCACAGGAAAGCCAGGCTGCCTCGCAGAATCCTGTGCCTGCACAGCATGGACAGGTGTTGCTCTTTTTGACGCTCTCCGTCGTCGTCTAATAGCATATGCCTTTTTTTCGCGCTAGAGTATCCTACGGGTCTGAAGCGCCTATCGGCTACACAGTTCGGCGTCTAGAGGCTGCTCATGCTGGTATTCCATAGTGTGGCAGGGCTGTGAGCAAACCCAGCTCTTGGTGTGGCCCGCAGACCCTGGAGTTGTTGTTCGAGTGGCGGCATGGGTTATGTATTGGCAGCAGGGCCCAAACACTACACCATAGGCCCCCCGCCTGGTCATGTGGCTTACTGCTAGTTTATATTGCTTACGTTCGTCAACTGGCCCAAGTCATGTTCCCCCTCCAGGCAGACCATGTGTTTGTGGTCGGATTGACGGTTGCATTTTTTCACGTGCAGAGTCGTGAGACTTGAAACTTGCGATATCAAGATTGGCAATGCGCTCGGGAGCAGTTGTGCAGAAAAGCTGGGTGGTGGTGGTGCACAGTCTAGTTACGCGTTTGTGGTGGCAATGGCATTGCTGTCTTCGTTGCAATCTCTGCGGTGGGCTACGATACACCACACCTTAGGTCGTTACTCGCTGGCTTCCGCTTGGTTCTGAATCCGCTATTGCTTCATCGCGTACTCCGTATTCTTCTTCTTCTCCGGCCTCTTCCTGGAGGAGTGGGCGTAAAGGTATGGCCACTGGCCTACCCTTCTGCTTTGCATCGAAGGCGGGGAAGATGGCTTTGAGCAAAGCCAGGCGAAGAAGGATGGCCGCACCAGTGATAGGAATGAATAGAAGCATGGATGGGAGAAGGGGAAATGAAGAACGGCACAAAGGGAAACAAGATCAGGAGGCGGCGGCTAATAACACATGAGGCAGCCATCGTGGAGCAAGTACGCAGAGGAAGATTCGCAGCAGCACGTTGAAGGGCGTGGAATAGGATGTAGATGCTCAAATGAAGAAGGGGGTAGAAGCAGGAGAAGAGAGAGAGAGAGAGGGACAAACGCATCCTGAAGACCCTGAAGAAGAAGAGGAGAAGGATGAGGAGGAGTTGCAGCAGCAGCAGGAGCAGGGAGCGAGAGCAAGGATGAGGGGGAAGATCGGGCACACGAGCAAAAATTGGATGACAAGGAGGAGGAGGAAAAAAGGATGAGGGGGAAGATCGGGCACACGAACAAAAATTGGATGACAAGGAGGAGGAGGAGGAGGAAAAAAGGGAGGGAAGAACGGAAGATGACGAACAGGAGGGGAAAAAGGAGCAAGAGGAGCAGGACGATGAGAAGAAGCAAGAGTATGCGGGAGTACGCAAAGGGGGACGCAGTGTCCCACGGCATAAACTCATCCGAGGAGGAGGAAGGCAAAATGAGAACATTCCGAACTCCCGATGACGCGGCATCTCCCCATGCGTCCTCGCGAGGCGCGCGCGCTTTCTGATAGGATGAGCCCGCAGATCCGAATGCCACAGCGACAAGGCAATTCAGAAGAGGCAGCCGTGAAACACTGCCCAGGTGTGCACAATTAACTAGAGCACTCGAAGCGCCGAAAACTCTTGAGTCTGAGATCTAGGATGCGAAGGGAGAGGCGGACGAGGAGGGGGAATGCAAATGAGAAGAAAGCGGAGAGGGGGAAAGGCGGGAAGATGCGGAGATGTGACTAGGCGTGGCACCAAGGCCACGCCTCATGATACTGCGTTGACGAGCGCGGCTTTCAGCGGTTTGGCGTGAGCTTCTTCAAGTGAGCCTTCACATCATCCTGCATAGTGGAGTTGACCCGGAAACACACCCCCGTCCCTAACCGCTTCAGCGACTCGTCATTCTTGCGCAACTCGCCTGCGGCCAGCTCGGTGTTGACGCACGCGGGCTCCATCAGGGTGGAGACAACGAGCTCGGCCACGTCCCCTCTCGAGATCTTCCGCAGATATTCGTGGCGCTCACTCAGAGGCATCTCTCTAGGGCAATCCTGACTTACCCCGATGGGATATTTCCCCCCCGGATGGTCGTTGACGCCGCTCACTTTGATAATGGTGTACGCCAGGCCGCTCGAAACGACCGCGTCCATGGGTGTCTTGGACATGGCACTCCTGTACTCATCCGGCTCGTCGTCTTCTTCGTCGGGCTCGGCATCAGGATTTGGCACAAGAGCCCCTTCGAGCTCCTCTAGCTCCGCCGCCGCCGCCTCCTCAGCCTGGCTCTTCCTGATGAAATCATCGTCCATATCAACGAGATCAGCGAAGAAATCGTCATCTTCGTCGTCGAGAGGGTCATACTCGACGCCGCCTGCGCCAGACTCCTCTTCTTTGCCGACGTACACGACCTGCGGTTCCGCCTGCGTCCTGAAGGCCCTGACGTACTTCATGGCAAACGAGAAATACCTAGACGAGGACAAACAATTGCATAAACATAAACTTTCGGAGGCCTGCGCGGAATTCCTCGGACGGCGCTGCGCGCCAAATACCCAGCGCGCGGAGCGCGCCAAGGGCGGCGCCAAAGGCGTCGACAGGCGGGGCCGGAAGCACCGATCAAAGAAAGCGCGGACCTCCGAAAAATTATGCTTTTCCCATGCTTGTCATGGACTCATGGACCCCCGGGCCGTCCTCCAGAATCAGCTTCCCGTGCAGAAGAATTTGGTTACGGTTCGGGGGCCTGTGGGGGACCCGGGAAGCGAAACACGGAGAAACACCTCCGAGTCCGTCTTCCCTCAAGACCTGCCTTCCCTCAAGACCCTCTCCCGAATGTCCGACGATATTGTGTTTCAACGCGCGAACCGGGCAACGGGGTCCGTCCCAGTGGGGCCAGCAAACGCAGTTGCACCACCCTGTTGCGTAAACCACTGCGCGACAATATTTCGCCGGCGGGCTCAACAATTGCATCGACCAAATCCAATGCTGCATGGCCAGACGCCGCTATTCCATCTTGGCGCGCCAACTGCTCCGCACAAGCCAGAGGCCAAATAGTAATCGACTGCACAGCAAGTCAATTTTTGACGACGTGGATCCAAAACATTGAATTGTCGCACTGTGGGCGTGCAAAAAAATACTGGGCGCGAGCCATGTGGAACCAAGCTACGAAAGGCAAAACATGTGGTACAAGCGGTGCAAACTATGAATCGCAAGCACTTTGGTGCAAGCTATGAAATTTACTCCGTGCGGTGTCAGCTGCGATGCGAGCTCCCACGTGAAAGCTACGCGGTGCAATTTACCTTGCAGAACTTGAAGTCGTCAACTCCACTGCTCCCGCAATCATCCCTCCCTCCCACCTGCCACTTGCTTGGCAAAGCCCAATCGCCCACGATTGAGGCTGCCGGTTGTCACATTCCAGCGCAACTTTGCGGCCGCGCTGGCGCGGGAATGCTCGCGCGCAGGGCGATCAAGTGGATTGGCACACCTGATGCGGCCGCGATGGCGCTTACCGATGGATACTTCCCAGCGCGTCTCAAAGGCTGCGGAGACGCGCGGGCACTTGATTTCGGTCCGGTGACTCGGGCGAGCGCGGTATGATGATAACGTCAGCAACGGCAGCAACGATGATGATGTTAGCGGTGGCGGTGGCGACGATGATGAAGACGACGGCAAGACCAATGCCGGCATCGATGCTGGTGACGACGGTGACGATGATGTCCATGTCTCGGTGATAGAGGTGATTGGCTGATGATGGCGGCAATGGCGGTGATTGGCGACAACGGTAAGGGCGATGATGCGATGGCGCTGATCAGGGTGAGGGTAATGAAGTGCGCGCGGGCAGAAATTGTAGTATCAGGCTTTCTTATTGGAAAGATAAACCAGTGCATGCGCATATATTGTTTAAACAAATTCGATTGGACAGGCCTGGAGGCCGGCAGCGCCGACCCTAAAGGACGACGACGACGACGACGCCGACGCCGACGCCGACGCCGACGACGACGACGACGACGACAACTACGACAGCAGCGGCGGTGGCGGCGGCGACGACGAAGACACACACACACACACACACTGAAAACTTAATGCAAATCATGTCTGTTGCCCTCTTGGGTTGGTCTTGGGAGTGCTCTTGTGGCTCTCCTGGGCCACTTGGGGGCCACTTGGGGGATTCTTGGGCGACTCTTGGGGCCTCTTTGGGCGGCAGGCTCGACATGTCGGCTGGTGTTCCCCCTCTCGGGAGCCTCTTGGGGCCTTCTTCGGCTCCTATTCGGCTGTCTTGGAGGCCGCTTGGGCGGTCTTGGGCCGGTCGTGCGCCGTATTCGTGCCGTGTTGGGCCGTAGCCTCTTGGACCGCGTCTTCGGGCGCTGTTGGTGGCTTCCTGGGCCGTCCTGGAGCGTCAGAGGCCCGAAGGGGCGAGGACGCCAGCAAGACTCGAGCAAACGGAGTGGAAGCCGCAGATGTCCGCCGCTCGGGGCCCCAGGGAAGAATCTTCCCTTTGACTCGATGGCGACGTTGCTCAGTATCCCTCTGGCTGGAACGTTTTAGGAGAGCGGGAGAACGGCGACGGCGACGGCGACGGCGACGACGACTCAAACGGAAAAACGTCAATGGAAAGAAACGACGACGACGACTCAAACGGAAAAGTTTCTCACAAACGCCGACAGGGTTGGCGGATTTCGAAATTCGTTGGTAGCCGATGGTTTTGGAAAAATTGCACTCGCGCGTGGCGGCGCGCACGCCTGTGACCCACATGGTGGCAATTGATAAGGACTCGAGCACCGGGCGCAAGCTAGATCAACGCAGATGAAGTGCGTGGTGTGATGAGGGTGTGGGCTTCTGGGCACATGATACGTGCCATTGCTTTTATTACAAAGCGTCTTCTGATTTCAGCAAGCGCGTGGGCCCCACAGGCGGCACCACGCGGCAACGGGCCAGAACGTGGCGAATCCTCTGAACACCCCCGCAGGCGGCAACAAGTGACAACTGGCCAGAACGCGCGGCATACTCGGGACTCCCCCACGGGCGGCAACGTCCAGAAACGGGACGGCACGTGACGAATCCCCGGGGCACCCCCACAGGCGACAATGGGGCGGCAACAAGCCAGAACGTGGCGAATCCTCGAGACACCCATCCATCCAATCCCTTGGAAACGCAAGTAAGAACCCCTAAGTGCAAGCACTCTTTGGAAAATTCTTGCACTCGAGCGAACGAACTGTTGCAATTCATCCAGTGCACGGGGCATTGTAAGATGCACCTGCGCGTACAGTATGAAATATTACATCCACTTTTGCGCACATGTTTGTGGCTAGCTGTGCAGGGGACCCCATGGCCCGACTCTGTCCTGACCCCTTACCCCATGCCAATCTTGCGCCCCAGACCGCTCTATGATGGCCCCAGGGCCAGATAACGGGCCCCCCGGGAGCCGAAACCGAGGAAGAACGCCGCGCGCCGCGACTGGGCAGCTCGCATCGCTCTCGGCAGTCTGGGGGAAGGCACCCCAGCGCCCCTGGCTGGCCCTCCTTCTCCTTCGGATTCGGGCCCGTGCGCTTCACGACCCCGATCTGCACGACCCTCTCCCGGTCCAGAGGCCGAGCGGCGGCCTCGCGCTCCGGGAGATCCACGCCGTCGACGCGCACGGGCCGGAACGCCCCGAAGGGCAGCCGGATGGTGTGCCAGGTGGACGCCTTTCGAGGTTCGAGGCTTGAGGTTTTCGGTGGCCTTCGTCGGTTCTCGGCGGCCTTCCAACCTCGGGGTGCGTTCCAGCAGCTGCACCTCGCCGAGAGCGCTCTGGGGGGGCCCGAATCGCCCCGAGCGGCCGCCGGAGGCTCGAATGAGTACCCCTGGAACCAGGACGACGATTCATCAATATCGTCACGGGAAAGCGGATCGAACCGGATTGGGCCGCGTCTGCACGGGGTCGAGGTCGGTTTTGATGGGCTGCGCAGAATGCAGAACAGCGCCATGCGAGAATCGGGCCCCATCGGATCGTCAGAATCTCGGAATCGACACGGATCGGGTCGACCGTGATCGCCATCAAACCAGATCGATCGGAGGGACATGGAACCTGCCTTGCATACAAAGTCCGCCTCGTACTGCACGCGCGACTCCTCGAAGTCGTCGGCACGCAGGAAGAAGGAGTACTTGTTATTGTCTGCTTGGTTATACGCATGGAAGAGGATCCCGCTGAAGCGCTTGAAGTTGAGTTTCAGGATGGGAGACTTCAGCAACGACTGCCCAACAGGCTCGTAAAACGTTCCGATCCAATGCGCGGTGCCATGTGAATTTCGCGTCCAGGTTGCCCGCTGAACACCGTAGACCATGTCCGAGGGGAAGTTGCGCTCCACGCTCCAGAGGTCGAAGTCAACCTGGCGGTCGAAGTCGAAAATCTGCACCTTCGCGTTGTATGCCTTTTGCGTGTCCGCAAAATCTGCTCGGTAGAGCTGCCAGGCTGTCAAAACGTCAGTCACCTGCTTCATTGTCTTTCTCGCGCCAGGGCCGTCGGTGTCGCAAGAGCAAATCACTAGCTTGTCAATGCCAGCTACAGCACTGTAGAGATCCATGGGAAGGAAGGCCCCGAAGTCACCTTAGCATTGAGAAATCGGGTCTTGAAGGACACGGATCCTAGATCCCCGGGCCTTCCCCCAGGACCAAATCTTTACCCCGAATGGTCGCCCGAACACTGTTTGCACTTACGGGTACTTACTTGTGGAATACAGAACTAGGCTTGAAAGTCGGTCTGACGGCTATGTAGCCGCTGTCGCCGCCCCGTCGCCGCCTCGTCGGCGCCCGTTTTCTGGGCCTGAAGGTCGGTCTAGCGGCTGTGTCGCCGCTGTCGCCGCGCTGTCGCAACCCGTCGCCTTGGCCTGACACTCGGTCTGGCGGCTATGTCGCCGCAGTCGCCGCCCCGCCCCCGCTTTGCATTGATTTTCTTTCTCTGACACAGATTCGGATCGACCTTTTCCGCCGGACTTCATGGGACCTTTTTTTTCTGCGCATTACAATGTACATGCGATTCTGTCCCATCGTCCATCCTAACTTTTAACTGTGCCATCCCAACTAAACCCGTATCCGCACCACATCATCTGCAGAGATTACTATGGGCGCGCATTCGTTTATTCAAACATCACAAGCCTTCATGACTTCATTGCAACAAACCAGACGAAGTGAACGCGCGCGTCGTCGCGCGCGAATGCCAGAATTTGTCGAACCTAGGTTCCGAGAGGATTTCAAAATCGCGCGTCCCGAAACATATAGAAACGCATGTTTTCCCAACGAGGATGTTCAAATAATGTTTGCGTTTGGGCTTTTGCGAATCCTGAAAGAAACCATCGGGATTTCACAGTTTTCATCACATGCTACATCGCGTCTGCTGCGCGCGCGTGCCAAAAAGCTTGAAAAACCGAAGGATTGGTAAGGATGCCAAAATCGAGTCCCGAAAACGTATCGAAACATATGTTTTGGGAACATCAGTTTTTCAAACAACAACAGAAAATGTTCGCGATCTTGCGAAGTGTTCGGGCTACAAGAAATGTCCAGCATGTTCCTTACACTTTTCCGAACAACCCTCCCGCGCCGGTCGAACTGTTTCCAATCAACTTCACCACCGACGCGAGGGCGCACACGCACACATCGTCGTCGGCGCGACCAGCATCGGATCCGTCATTGGCCGTGCCGTCGTCGTTGTCACCATCGCCAGAAGCATCGTTAGTGTCATCATCGTGTCTACCGTTGCCGGCGTTGCCATGATACCGCGCCCGCCCATCTCGCCGACTCGCACTGACATGCCCGCTGGGATGTGCCCAGCTGTCAGCGCCACCGCGGCCGGTGGGACGCGCAAGCAAAGCAGGCCGATGCGCGCGCGAGCATGCGCGGGCTAGCGCGGCCGCAGAGATGCACCAACCAACACCAAGCACGCATCGCAACTGCCGCCGTGTGGGTTTGCAAACCAAGTTGCGGGTGGGTGCGTGGGATGATTGCGCGAGCGGTGGAGTGGACAACTCACTGCGAACCGACATTAAGTCTCCTTTCGGAAAAAAGAGTCGACCCCCCCGAAGGGACTACCCCCCGCTTTTCGTTTCGAAATTTACACAAGATTCTGCCCCATCGTCTATCTGATATACGAATTCGCACCATGCCACGGGAGCCGGCACCGACCCCCCCCGCCACCACTTGGGGCAAAAAAAAAATGCGCGCGCACCCGTGCATCAAAAGTCATCAGTCCGCAAGAACCCCTTGGAAGAAACAGACGAAGTGCACCCGCGCGGGTCGTCGCGCGCGCGTGCCGGAATCCGAGAGGCGCGAAAATATATCATAACACATGGCTTCACAACGCTAGTTCTCGAAAAAGCTAGCGCGCGCGCTCTTGCTATTTAGCGTTTGCGATTTTTGATGTGTAAACCTGCGCATATCTGAAACACGTTGCTCAAGATCTACATGACATGCGGCCAAGCGGGCTTCGCGCGCGCATGCCGAAATCATTCGAAAGCCCTTGCGAGCGCCGTCGCCACAATCCTTTGACTATATACAAAAAAACTGCGAACCGCACGCGGGCGCGCGCCGTCGCGCGCGCGTGCCGAAATAAAGAAGAACATGATGTTTCACGAAGATTTAGAAACCGAGTGCCCCGATACCAGCTGCTATTTTTTATAAAACAAACACATGGCTTTGCAACATCAGTTTTCAAAGTGGCCTGCGCTCGCACTCCCTCGACGAATTTCTATTCGATTTGACTTTTGAAACAACGCAATGCGTTTTCACATTGCCATTGAATTCTGCCTCTCGCGCCTCTCGCGCCGCATGCCGAAATCATTCGATCGCCCTTGCGCGCGCGCTGGAGGGGCACGATCCGCGTCGAATAATGCCACGCGGCCGCTCTCGCGCGTTGGCCGCGCGCGCGTGTCGAACACCGTCCAAAACCTCCATCGCCCTCGCGAGGACGCCGTCATCGTCGTCATGTGATCAGCATCGCTGGCCGCGCCGTCGTCGCTGTCGCCATCGTCGCCAGCATCGCTACTATCATCGTCGCGTCTACCGTTGTCAACGTTGCCATGATACTGTGCCCGCCACGTCGCCGACTCGCACTCAAGTGCCCGCTTGGATGCGCCCAGCGGCCAGCGCCGCCGCGGCCGCGTCGCCGCGCGCGCGCGCGGGCTGGCGCGGCCGCAGATGCACCAGCCAACGCCAGGCACTCATCGCAATCGCAGCCGCATGGGTTGCGCAATTCAAGTGGCGGGCGGGCGGGCGGGACGCTGGCGCGGGCAAAGGAGCGCGCAATTCACTGCGAATAGAGATGCATTCTCCTGTATTTCAAACGACTACATAATACCCCCCGCCCCCAGGGATCCCCCCCCTCTTCGCATTGCAATTTGCGTGTGCTTCTGTCCCATCGTCCATCTAGAAATACGGGCTCACACCATCCAAGGGGGGCCGCCATCGCTCTCCCCCCCGCCATCCTCTGCGACAGAAAAATATTCGCGCGCACTTGTATACAACATCGCTTGTAACCCCATTAAACCATGGGACAAAGTGCTCGCGCGCGTCGTCGCGCGAGCGCGCCGGAATCATTCAAAAACCTTCGGCGCCTTAAGGAATCCAAGATCAAGTGCCAGAACAATGGATACACGTGGCTTCGCAATGTGGATGTTCAAAATGAGCATGCGCGCTTGCGTACGCTTCTGGGCAAAAACAACTTGTATTGTTTGAACCTGTTCATGGCGCGTGACCAAATGGACTTCGCGCGCGAACGTCAAAATCGTTCGAACGCCCCTGCGCGCGTGCTGTCGCGATAATCCTTTTGCACCAAAAAAAGAAACCGACGTAGCGCGCGCCAAACTAGCCGGCCGCTGCGCGCGCGAGCGCGCGCGGGCCAGCGCGGCCGCAGAGATGCGCCAGCATTTGCCGAGCACCCATCGCAATCACCACCGCGTGGAAACTGCAAACAAAGTCGCGGGTGGGTGGCTGGGACGTTTGCATGAGCATGGAACTTGTCAACTTGGTTGTAGGAGCCAGCCGCGCCACATGGGTTGCACTACGTAGCTTGCGCCACGTAGATTTCGCCGCGTATACGTTGGGCTGGGCGACGGAGCCGACCGCGAGCATTGGAATAATCGCGACGCGCCCTTGGATGACACCCCCTTTTGCCTCTTCTCTTCGGGTGCGAGCCTCGGGCCCGCTCCGAAGATCGGCTGGGTTCGCATCCGTCGACGCCAGCACGGCTGGAACAACGATCGGGGAGACCCGCGCCAGCCGGCGCGCCCGAGCGGTTCCAGCCCACTGGCGAGGCCAAAGGCGGCACGAAGGCGGCCCGCAACAGCTGCCGCGCAGCTTGCGGCCTCAATGGCTGGCACGCCTAAACGAAACATCCACCGCAAACGCCCCTGCGTTAGGTCGGGCGGCGGAAGCGAGCGCGAGCTCCGCAACAATCGCGGCGCGCTCTGGAGCGACCCCACTTTCTATTTCTTTTCGGCCACGGCAGGTGCTGAAGCTCAAAGAACACGCAAAGCACTCGCCTGCGCGGGCCTCGGGGCCCGCCCCGAAGCAGCGGCTGGATTCGCAACTGTCGAAAATAGCGTGGCCAGAACGACGGGCAGGTAGACCCGCGCCAACCAGCGCGCCCAGTGATCTCGCGCTCACCGCCCATGTCAGGCACCCTCAACCACGGCTCTCCGCCCGTGTCTAACTCCGGCTTCTCGGCGGCGGCGCCTCTCCGCAAGCCCATATAGGACTCGCTTCTTCTCTGGGCTTGAGCTCGAGCAGTCCGCTCGAGCGAGAGCATGGAAGGCGTTCGCATGGCCCTACAGAACGGGTACTACGTCAGAGCCTCTCTGCTACGACGGCGGCCCCATCTTGGAAGTTGACCTTTGCCGCTCACTGAGAGCGTCAGCGGCCGCGCGCCATGGCCGCGGCCGGTTCTCCTGCATGCGAGAACTCGCGAGCGGCGCGCGTGCTCGCAGGAAATGCGCTAGAAATGCCAGCGTGGAAAAGCCGATGAGCAGCGCGGAGGGAGTGGGGCCACAGCCGCAGACGAGAAGAGCTTGCACTCCGCAGCTGATAATGCACGATGGCCCCAACTTAAGGATCGTCAACAGCGACGTTCTCTCTCGCGCCTTCCTGACAGGACGTCTTCGCCCCAGCCAAAAACGCAGCACCTCGGCCGTCGGGCCCGAGCTGGGTCGCAGCGCCAGTTAGACGCGGTGGATGGCTGCCAGGATCGCGGCGGCGAAAGCGACCTCCCCCTTGGCGATGGCCCATCCGGCGAGCGCCGTGCACGCAAGCGCCGGCTTCGGCGGCACATGGTTGGGGGCCTCCAGACGGCCCTAGACGAACGGCAGCCGCCAGGCGCCCGGGGTCTGGCGCCTCGTCCTCAGCATGTGCTGCTCGCCACCGAGTTCCGAGTTGGCCTGCCCCTCCCCGCGCGGCGCCCTGGCCCGCAGGTGCTCGGGAAAATGCTGGAGGCAAGTGCCATTTCATCTCGCGTCGCGGGCAGCGGCGAGCTCATGGCAAAAGGAAGCCTGCGCCTTGTGGGCTGCTCGCAGGTGCCCCTGCAATGTCCTCGCACCGATGCGAGCGTCGCTCGGCCCCCCG